ATTTTTAGACTCTTTTTTTTTTTTTTCCCCCCGGGGATTTTGAAAAGGTTGTGAAAAAAATATTGGGGGCCCATTTGGGGTCCTTTTTTTTTTTTTTCCCCACTGGAATTTGTCAAAGTGCTGTGAACAATAATTGGTGGCCATCTTCGGTGCCATTGTTATTTTTTCGTACACAATGATATGTAATTCTAACAACCAGTTTGACTGAAATGTTTGGTGGCTGTGTATAGAGACCATTAATAATAAATCAAGTACAGATTAATAGTATCTGTATTATGTTTCAGTGGCTTCAGCCTTAGCTCCAGTGGGAGAAAACATATCTTCAAGCCAGTGTCTGTTCAAGCTATGTGGTAAGTTGTTTATAAATTATATTAACCGTAACGAGCTTATAATTTCCTTATTTTTCTATTCAGATGACATTTTTAATGTGATCTTTAGTGGTACAGTCTAGCTGTTGTCTTTAATGATACAGTCTAGCTGTTGTCTTTAGTGGTACAGTCTAGTTGTTTTTAATTGTTTGTTTGTTTTGCTGCTAAGCACGTAGCTACAAAATGGTGTATCTAGGCTTCCTTTGTATGTAAATAAGACTTTTATTAAGTGGGTGAGGATAGTCATAAACCTGTCTGACTATGAATCCGAGGGTCCAAGGTTCGCGTCTTACTGATGCAAAGTCACGCTTCGCAGTTTGAGGCTGTAGGAGCGTTGTAAGAGTGACGGTGAAATCCTACTATTCGATTAGAGTAGCCCGAGGGTTGGTGGTGGGTGCTGTTGACTAGCTGCCTTCCCTCTATTCTGTCAGGGACGGCTATCACAGATAGCCCTTACGCAGCTTTGCGTGAATATCGGAAGCATTTAGCTGGAGAGGGGCGTGAAGTTAATTGGGGTTTTATCTTATTTTACAAGGCATCGTAGCTTGATTTACTGTTAATAATGAAAGCTGATTAGTCCATGGGTAGCACCATATTGTTTTATGTAGAAATTCACGGATTCAAATCTTGGGTTTTGTATATGTGTGTTTATATAACTCTTTCCTTGCAATGTTGAACAATAATTAAACAAAACCCTCATTTAGACGTATTGCGTAATGCAGAGGAAGCTGTAACGTCGATTGTCATTTTAAATCTAATAGTACAGACATCTATATAGATGAAGGTACATTTATACCACGCTATGTTGACGAGGTTTCCTCGTAGCTTTGAAGGATATTTTTTTCAAAAAGTAGGGAATCACTGCAAGCTTTCAAAACAGAAGATAAGGTGTTAGGAGTGGGGTGAATTTAAGGCTATTTAGGTGAATATTTAAAGATATTTCCAAAATATATTAGAGAAAATTTATGAAAACATTCTGGCATTGGTATAGTAGCATAAAGATATTTGGAAATATAGCGATTATTAACAGTAAGATCATTCAAATGTACTTACTGCATCAAAACCCTAAGAGCTCGTTAGATGATAATATCAGATTAGTTACCATCTGTTTGGAGATGTGGATGAAAGTTCATTAAATGATAATATCAGATTAGTTACCATCTGTTTGGAGATGTGGATGAAAGTTCGTTAGATGATATCAGATTAGTTACCATCTGTTTGGAGATGTGGATGAAAGTTCGTGATATTATCATCTAAGATTAGTTACCATCTGTTTGGAGATGTGGATGAAAGTTCGTTAGATGATAATATCAGATTAGTTACCATCTGTTTGGAGATGTGGATGAAAGTTCGTTAGATGATAATATCACATTAGTTACCATCTGTTTGGAGATGTGGATGCTGATGATGGTATCTTAATCTTTCATCTGGTGGATGTTTGGAATTTTATTATAAAAATACATCAGTCGTACTATCTAAATGATTTCCTGCTCTACCACATCCATGAAACCACCAGTTTCTACCAGGTCGAAATTCCAAGATAATCCGGAACGGAATACTTATATATATATATATATATATATATATATATTTA